TAAATATGCACATATCTTTCTACTCGTATATTAGATTTGCATGATCTTGGCATCTATGAATAGATATGACAAAGAGCTTTCTAATATTATAAAGAAAGAATTATTTGGGAATGTTTTGTGGAAGTTATGAAGTTGATAATATCACCAGCCAACAATAGATCTACCTATCGAGCGATGGCTGATTATTTGGCTCAAATTACGGACCATAAGGCGATGGCTAGCGATCGAGTCAACAGTTGAATCATGATCACCTATCGATTGACGACTAAAAGGTTTGGTTGATTTTTAGATCATCGGATTGCCAATCGAGACTTCCTGACAATTGTTTTCGATATGTAAGCACTGTATTAGACTCTTATCTAAATATGCACATAACTTTCTGCTCATATATTAGATCTTCTTGATATTGGCATCTATGCATAGATATGACAAAGATCTTTCTATGTTATAAAGAAAGGATTATTTGGGAATGTTTTGTGGAAGTTATGAAATGTATAATATCACCAGCCAACAATCAATCTACCTATCGAGCGATGGCTGATTATTTGGCTCAAATTACGAACTATAAGGCGATGGCTAGCGATTGAGTCGACAGCTGAATCATGGGTCACCTATCGAATTATGACTAGATTTTTGTTTTCGATTTTCAGATCATCGGATTACCAATCGTGAGTTGGCTGACGATTTTTGTCGATATGCAGGTATTCGATGAGAATGTTGTCTAAATGTGCACATAACTTTCTACTCGTATACTAGATCTGCATGGCCTTGGCATCTATGCATAGGTATGAAAAATAGCTTTCTAATGTCATAAAGAAAGAATTATTGGGGAATGTTTTGTGGAAGTTATGAAGTTGATAATATCATCAGCCAACAATCGATCTACCTATCGAGCGATGGCTGATTATTTGGCTCAAATTACGGACCATAAGGCGATGGCTAATGATCGAGTCGATAGCTCAATCATGGATCACCTATTGATTGACGACTAAAAGTTTTGGTTGATTTTTAGATCATCGGATTACCAATCGAGACTTGCTGACAATATTTTTCAATATGTAAGCACTGTATGAGTCTGTTGTCTAAATATGCACATAACTTTTTGCTCGTATATTAGATCTGCTTGATATTGGATCTCTGCATAGATATGACAAAGAGCTTTCTAGTGTTATAAAGAAAGGATTATTTGGGAATGTTTTGTGGAAGTTATGAAGTGTATAATATCACCAGCCAATAATCGACCTATCTATTCAGCGATGACTGATTATTTGGCTCAAATTACAGACCATAAGGAGATGCCTAACGATCGATTCGACAGCTGAATCATGGGTCACCTATCGAATGACGACTAAATTTTTGTTTTTGATTTTCAGATCATCGGATTACCAATCGAGAGTTAGCTGACGATTTTTGTCACAAGCCAACAGTCGACCTATCCAGCGAATGATGGCTGATTATGTGGCTTGAACTGCGGACCATGAGGCTATTGATGGCGATTTCAGTCGACAGCTGAATCATGGATCACCTGTCGAATGACTACTAATAATTTTGGTTGATTTTTAGATCATCGGATTGTTGGTTTAGTGCTCTATGATGTACTGTTATACGAGCTTTATTTAGATACATTTGATGTATTGACACTTTCTATGGTTTATGGATGAGTGTTTTATTCATTACATGTTTTGCATACTTGATATGTTATGATATCTATGTATTGTTATGAACAATACTAAACTCCCTAGTCGTATGTCATTGTGGGAATAATGATCTAATAAGACTAATATGATGTGTGATTGATGATCATAGGTATCGGATACAATAACAATCATAGGTATTCGTTGGAGAACGGCATACTGGATTGACCCGCATGAGATTGTCACATGGACTAGCGTCATGACTTGAATCTCACATGACGGTTCCATGATTGGGTCCTAAGACCTGAGATATCTACGGAATCCAACATGAGGAATTGTGTATTTTGAATACGTCAAACGTCCTGCGTAACAGTAGGATTATAAAGGCGTGTATCAGGTATGAAACAAATCATGTGTTGGATTGTAGATAGTCAAGACGGGATTTGTACATTGATAACTTCTATTTTTCTCTATATTTTGATAAGAGTTTGTCTAGGTTTTACGGGATAATCACATGCATTCATAGACATTCTAGGCGTGCTAGGACACAAAAACCCGGTTGTGCTTTAGTTTTGCAGATTACAGGTTTCGAAGATGATTGGACTCGAAAAGGAACTATTTGGAGCGTTAAAGGAGAAGTCCAGATGAGGTACTCATGTTGCGACATCAATAACTTTCTCTACAGAAGTCCAAATCATGCGAGACTTATACCATTGGAAAGAGCACTTCAAGAGCTTCGTTGCACGTATATTACGAGTATCATAGAAGAGTAAAATACTTGTAATAGATGCATGACCGTCCATTCTACGTACTGGAATGGGCGGTCACCCGCTCACAAAACGAGCGACCGCCCATTACGTACGCAACCACTGGATGCCCAAAATCACATCGGCACTGGGCTGTCCCGAGCCCTCTCGGTCCAAGTTTAAGGTCTGGAACGCGGACCGTCCGGACTGAGACGTCAGACTGTCCATTCTGGGCGTCCAGTCCGCCAATCTCTAGCTCTCTCCGTAAGCGAGTAGGGGAAAGTTTCGAGGAATACGTCTTCAAGAGTAATCCCCGGTCCCTTCTTGATTGCCTTACAGTTCATCTTGAAGTTTGTAAGGTGAGCATTCGTTCGGTCTGGACACTTGGTCCGCCGGCGGTTTTCCGGCCAAAATTCCGGCGAACCGTTATTTTAATCGGTTCGATTCGGTTCGGGACCGGATGTATCCTACGCGTTGAGCATTACGAGTAGATACCAGTCAGATCCAGGGGAGTCACACTGGATCACCGTCAAGAACATCGGCTGTGGGTTAGGGATTCGTGATACACGCACGGAGGAAGGTTTGTTCGTTCGGTATTGATAGTGACGAAGAGGGTCGTAGATGGGTCCGAAAAGATTAGTCTCAGGCCTAAAGCACTCGATCTTTGTTTTCGGATTGAATAGGAGATGGTATGGAATGGAATAGGTGACATCACAAAGGGGTATGACTGTCCCTTTGATATCGTCAGAATACCTCGACAAATGAATGGGAATCTCACTCAAACACTTGCGAGAACTTGGTTGAATGCTTCGGTATCTCACCTAGGCTACCCAAGAATATGAACAAACGAAAATGCACTTTATTTCTGGTTAAAATTCTGCAGAAGAAGTCGAAATACACTAGCCTTTTATAGGCAAAAAGAAACAATCAAGAAAAGGAAGGAAAGTGACACACTAACGGCTAGAAATAAAAAAGGAAACAAGATGATCTTCTTTTGAATAATTAGGCAACAGCTAGGAGAAGATTGGGGAAGAGATCTGATCATATTCCCATGTCACATTCCTTGCCAAAACCAGGTTGATGATGTGGCTCCGAGTTGCCTAATTTGCTTCAATCGAATCCCTTGAATTTGTGGCAGCATTTGTGGTGAACGACTTGCCTTATTTGGAGAGTAGAATCCTTCTTGATTTCGTCCAGATTGTGTCTCCAAAGGCCAGCTCCATATAGGGAAAGTTTGAAGTTGAATTAATGCCAACAATGCCTCTTTATTGAATGAAAGAGATGTCGAACTTCTTCAAGTGTTTCGATGCAGCGGGATTCACTTGTTTGCTCAGGTCTTCCGCCACATCTTCTGATGTTTCTAGATGAATCAGGTGGTGGACAACAAGAGCTCAAAAACGAGCAAGCTCTTGTTGTTTCTTCGGTAGGTTTCGAATGACTCCAATGTTGCTTCGGTTCTTGGAGTGTCTTCAAGTGTTTTGGATATGAACTTGTTGATATTTGAGTGTAGACTTCGTGCTTTCTCCTGTGAGAGTGGTGGATTGGAAATGGTCAGAAGAATGGCCTCGGAGATTGTTGTTCCTTGTTCAGCTCCGGCTGCGACTCCTAGCTCGTCCATGGTCTGATCATCCGTCTGTTCTTTGTTCAAAGCATCTAAGTCGATGTTCTCATCATTCCCTCCTCCTTGAGAATGTTTTGACCTCAAAACATGTTCACCTACGTCAAAAGGAGCCAAGTTAGTAACATTAAACACAAATGTCACATTGTACTTACCTTGCAGCTCAAAAGGGTAGGTGTGGAGGTTGATGATATCGCGTATGTTGTATGCTCCTTGATGTGCTTCTCCTTTCCTGCGTTGATCAATCCTTATGATTGCTGAGGCTGTTCTGTTGGTGATAACATTGCTGAGTTTATGTAAATTTTGAACTAGCCGCTTTGCTTCTTTTCGAGCACATTCTTTGGTACTAAGTGTCGACCAATCTAACAAGGTCTTGTACCCTTCGTCCTTACTAAGTGGTTCCTGCAAACTCGCATTAAAGTCTTGGGAAACAGTCTTGTTAGTGTAACAAATGCACTTCTCAAGGCTTGAGAAGTGTTTCAAGAGGTTATAACAGAAATCTCTATAGATAAGAAGGGATTCATAACAAATAGGATTGATGTTGTGTCTTACGACATGGTCGGTGAGCTTCTTAGGAAAATTGATGTCGATGGGCAGCTCCTTAGATTTGTTGGACAACAAATCTCCAAGAATGAAATCGATGTTGTGTTTCATCTCATGTTCTAATGGATAGCCAATAAGTGTTCCTTTGGGAATCAAGTCATTGAATTGCTCTCGTAAGTAGGATGCCTTTGGTGGATGCTCTTGAGTACCTAATTCTGCAATCAACACATCCTTGAAAAACATAAGTAGCTCCGCCCTATGACCAATTGAAGCTTTGCAAGCTTCACTTCCTTCGAGATAGAGATTTAAGTTCTTACTCGTTTTGGTTTCATTATTCATCTTACTTTGCATTTCATGCACTTGTGATTGACTAAGAGGGGCTAGAGATAACTTACGCTTGTTGAAAACAAAAGAGTAGTGATTTGTTTTACCGTCATGCAGAACCTCACGATCAAATTGTCACGGGCGTCCTAGAAGGATATGTCCGGCTTGCATAGGTATCACGTCACACATCACTTCATCTTGATACCTTCCAATGCTGAATTGTATCTTGATTCGTTCTTTGACATCAATCTCACCTTGGTTGTTTAGCCATTGAAGCTTGTAGGGTTGAGGATGCTTCTCCGTTTGAAGACTTAGCTTTTCAACTAAGTAGGCACTCGCAACATTAGTACAAGAACCACCATCGATGATGAGACCACATACCTTGTTCTTGATGGTACAACGGGTGTGAAAAAGGTTCTCCCTTTGTGTGGTTTCTTCCATGCTTACGAGTGTGCTAAGAGTGCGTCTAGTGACTAGAAGTTCTCCACTATCCGGATACTCGATCTGTTCTTCGAGATCTTCTGCCTCTTCTTCATCCATTGACTCATAGCCTCCACTCTCCGTAATGATCATGACTCGTTTGTTTGGACAGTCCCGAGCATAGTGTCCTCGACCCCTACACTTATAACAAAGAATCTCATGACTCAAGGGGTTAGCCTTGTTACCTATTAAGGTGTCTCCCTTGGACGTGGCTATATATTTTCCTTTGTTCCGGACTATAGGGTTGTCTTGACTCGTCTTAGTGGTAGTGGTGGTGGTTCCCTTGCTCTCGGACCTAGGGAAAGCATGGTTCGGCATCGACGTTCTTGTTTGGCTTGTCCGAGCTTGCTTATGGTTTATTTGTTGCTCCACTTGGATTGCTAAGTGAAGTAATTCCTGCAAGTCATGATATACTAACCTCTCTACCTTACGCCCAATCCGATCTTGCAGTCCATCAATGAATTGAGCCATCATCGCCTCTTCACTTTCATCTAGTTCTAGACGGTTTCGGAGATGCTCAAACTCCTCAAAGTATTCCTCAACCATTCTCATTCCCTGCACTAAGTTACGATATTTCCTTTGCATATCACGATGGAAATGAGGGGGAACATACCTTTTACGCATCATAAGTTTCATTCCTCGCCATGTCCTGATCGGATCATATCTAGCACGTCTTCTTTCCGCTACCTCTCTATCCCACCATGCTAATACATTGTCGGTAAGTTGTGCAGCGGCATATTGCACTTTCTTGTATTCCGAATACTCATAACACTCAAATATATTATCCATCCGCCTCTCCCGATCGAGATAGGCATCTGGGTTAACACGTCCAGCAAAGGTGGGTAATTGTAGTTTAAGATCCTTACCTTGTTGCCTTACACGATGAGGTTGTCCTTGATAGAATTCATCATCCTCATCATCTTCATCATTCGGAAATTGATTTCTGTACTCTCTTCTCCTTGGAGGAGGATCAGGGGGTGTGCGTTCTCGGTCCCGTACAGGTTCCTCACGCCTTGGAAAGTTGACCCGAATAGGTTCTGGCCTCCTTGGCAATTCCTCTAATCGAGCCAAACGTGCTTGTATATCTTGTAGGATTTGGGCTAATGCATTGTTACTAGGTTCTCCTTCTCCCGACATTCTCACTCCTTTTTTGTTTTCTCAAGGGTTTTTGAGTAACAATTTCAAAATAGAACAGAAAAATTCAAAATAAAATGAAATAGAAAGAGATGGTGTTACCTCTTCCCCGGTGGAACTTTTTTTTTGTGTTTTCGATTTTCTTCAAAACAAAGGTGAATAATAAACTTAAATCAAATAGAACAGGGATAGAATTACCTCACGGTGGTCCTTCGGTCAGGGTTAAATAACCTTATAAGAAGGAGATTAAAACCCTAATTACGTAAGAGACTTTGGCAGCCGTCTGGGGTAGACTTTTGATAGTTTTTGGTGAGATACAAAAGGTCCAAGAGTTTCCAAGTCTCGTTTTCTCGAAGCATCATACCGAATAGCTGATTTGTGTCCTAGCAGACAAGTTCTAATCGTTGGAATCCATCCCGAGGTGTGGATACGTGTAGAGGGCGAGGTAATCTTCCTGCCTAAAGTGATCGAACGAATTCTTCAGTTGATACAGGCCCCAGATCGATTGAGGTAAGCGTTCTAACGTTTCTACGATTCATACATGCAAGGTTCTAGGGTTCATATAAATGTTTGTTTTACATCCGCTGCGCAAACCCTAGAATCGATCTCTTAGGAATAGGATTAGCTCTAGAGATCCCAGGAATCCCAACACATGCCTTATGCTCGACTTATGATATCGTGATACAAAAGGATCATCATCCGGAATCATAACTGGCGTTCGTAGGATCACGAACAAACTCTATTCGAGATAGGTAGTCATAGTGTCTTGTTAGAGACCGCCTATGACTTGTATATCCGAAATAGAGATTTCGGGTTATACTGCTATATCGAATGAGCCTACATGATCACACACGCAGGGAAAGACAAAACACACGAGAAAACGACGAAAAAACCGAGACAGAAGGGTCCAGACCGGACGTGTAATACCCCGAAACCCGATTTGAATATTTAATTATTAAAAATGAATAATTAAATAGAGATATCACGAAATCACCAAAAGTGATGATACAATACCGGGGAGAGGCACGAGGATCGTCACGTGCGGAAAGGACCGAGAAAGAATGAAGAAAAGGAAAAAGATAAAAAAAAAACAGGGCTGGTCCGCCGGACCAGGAATGGTCCGCGGCGGACCAACCGCTCAGCCGGAGTGGGGACTGGACAGCGCGGACTGGGAGAAGTTTTCGAAAAAAAAATAACTGACCCCGGTCCGGCGGACCAGGAATTGGTCCGGCGGACCGGGAATGACAGATTTTGCAACTCGCCAACTTGCGGTCTTGGGACGCGGAATTCGCCGGATTCCGGGGCCCACTCGCCGTCCAGTCGCCTCCCACGCCTCGAGGGTGTTGCAGGCTCGCCTATGAATTTGTGAGAGCTTGTTTTCAATGTGTGATGGTCCAAATCGGGAGTTCATTGCGTGTTTGAGATTTAGAACATGTTTAGGGATGTCAAACTGTGTTTTAGTAGCATTTGGAAGCAACCCCGAATCGATTCGGGAGAGAAAAGTCGAAACAGAATCGGAGAAATCGCGAGGGAGAAGAAAGTTCTAGTCCCGGTCCGCCGGACCACGCGCGGTCAGCTCCGGACCGAGACTGGAACATTACGCATGAAGCCAGCCGAACCAAGGGAAGGAAGTCGGACCAAGAGAAAAACACGGCCGGGTCCGCCAGACCAGTCCTGGTCCGTCGGACCAGACGTGTTCCGGGGTTCTGCGCACCGACTGACCAGAAGAGGGGGGACGGACCGAGTCCGGGGCTGACCACTTCTGGTCCGCCGGACCAGACGTATTCCGAGGAGACACGCACCGCCTGACCAGAAGAGACGGACCGAGTGGGGAGAAGCAGTCTGGTCCGGGGCTGACCAATCCTGGTCCGCCGGACCAGCCTTGGTTTTCCTCTCTCGGACCGACTGACCAAGAGACGGAGTGGACCTGGGAGAAGGAAGACTGGTCCGACTGACCAGAATTTGGTTCGCCGGACCAGGATCCGAGAAAAATGGGCGAAAAATCTGATTTCGACCGGGAAAAAGGAAACGGCCAACGGGGTTGGCCCGGGCCTGACCAGACCTGACCGTGGACAAACCAACCCCCACCAGAGTAAAAGACTTCGCGATTGGGATCAATCGAACCGAGTTTTCGCCAGAACACTGCGTAGCGTAGTGAGATGTGTGATATCGAAATACGAGTGATTCGTTGTGTGATTGTATGCGGGTAGAAATTGCATGGCGTTAAACGGTAGCTCGGTAGGGACCGGATACCGTGAT